TACTAATAAAGAAAACAGAACAAACACATACAATGTTTTTAATGTAGCCTGAGTGTTCTAAATATCCCCACTAGATGTCACTGTTGACTCTTTGTTTATCAAGGTGAGAATATGTGAAGGCAAAAGTATACATTTCCTGAAAAACATCTGTATTGTTCCTACAGTACTCCTAATCTACACCTGAGTGTGTTTTGAAGCACTATCTTGTGAACATAACACATACATAAATAGTTTTTAGTTTAATTTCAAGCCCATTTTTTTAATTAAAGATTTTAGTCATTGCCTGTTATTCATCAAAGAATATAAAAAAAACTCCAAATCAACTTACACAACAATTGAATGTGTCTCCATTATTTTGGTCCCTGGTATTTAATTATTTAAAATAGTCCTTTTAAAATGACGTTCATTGGCTACCCTTACCTTGACTGCATGGAAGTACATTTAGAACAGTAGCCTGCACAGATAAATAGAAGAGTCTGTTGTGACTTTATATATCCTCACCCCCCCTCTGTTTCCTGCCCCCCCCCCCAGACCCGCTTATGGACAGTCTCCAGTCGCTGTCCTCGGACTCGGCCACCCTTGCCATGCAGCAGGCCATGCTGGGAGCAGACGACTCCATGGACGGCACCGAGGAGGAGGAAGAGGAGGAGGAAGAGGAGGAGGAAGAGGAGGAAGGAATGGAAGAGGAAGAAGAGGAGGAGGATGGAGATGGAGAGGAGAATGAGAGGGGAAGGCAAATGTCCAGCGGGGGAGGGGGACAGAGAGACCTGCGCATGGAGCACAGAGAGGATTTAGAGTAGTGGTCTAAAGGAAGAGACTTTAATCCATCGTCCTCTCAGACTCATCACAGCCAACATGGACGGCTCTGATGCTGAGTGGCTGAGAGAACCATGAGTGTGTTTCCATCAGAGACTCCATGGAGCCTATTCACACTGACCATCACAGCTACAGAGGACTAATATGAGTTTAATGACAAATGTGTGTTGTTCCGTTTTATTATCGTATGTTCTAATACACTGAAAAAACTGAAACGTTGACCTTAATGAAATGTGTTATTTCAACAGATTTCACACAACTGTATTAGGTTAGTTTACAGTAACCTAATACAGTTATGTCAAATCTGTTGAAATAACACATTTATTGAAGTTAACCTTTCAATTTTTTCAGTGTAGAAGCACATTTTAGCTCCTGTTAGTCATGGGCAGAAATGGCGCAGGAACTAAAAGGTTTAAACGATAACTGCCTGTTTTAAATTGAGAGATATGAACTACTTTACAGTAACTGTTTAGAACACAGCCATGACATTTCGGAGGCTGAACTCGGGTTACTGTCAACGGAAAAATCTCGAGTAGTTGCACAGTCTTTGCACAGTGAGATTTTTTGACTGCATGTGAAAACAACTAATTGGTATATCTCCAAAATTGCAGCACCATTAAAAGAGTTACAAGAAGATCTGCAGCTTTGTAACTCTTCACTTCATGCGACTGAAAGTACTCTCAATGTTTCACTCTCAGTCAGTAAGCGTGTCTTTTGCTTTCTAAAAATAGAGTGAGGTTCTTAAAGAAAGGAACATTAGAAAAGGTGTAAAGCTGTTTGTGTTTGCTTCCACTGCTGGAACATCGTCACGCCTTCTCATGACTCATCGGTTCTCAGGTCGGCTACACTCACTCGGTGTGTTACTTCGTCACTTGACTCATTGCTGCAGAAAACCTTTTAGAGCATGACTTTTAAATCATTAAAATCATATTTGTTCACATTGTTTCTCTTCACCCATGAGCAAAAAAACGAATAAACCAGTGTATGCTGACTGCACATACAGTATAGTATGTATATCAGATGTTTTATGTTTGCATTCTGCTGTTGAATGTTTGCATATTTATTTTGTATTTCTTTGCATGGCATCAGAGTAGCTGAAGGAACAACAGGACACGTGCTACACTCTTTCTGAATAAGGTGGTTGTGTTACTTGGTGACCATGCACATACTGGACTTCAGCCACCAAGTCAGTCTTAGAAATGAGCTTATGTATTTGTATGACCTCGGGTGATTCTGTCACAAAATAAGAGCATGGCCAGCACTGCAGTCAGGACGAAGTGTCTCACCCTCTCCTCAACATGAAGCGGAATCACACAGACCGCCAATGGCCAGTGTCTTTTACTGACAAACTTTTCAAGGCGACAAAGAAGAGAATTTTGAAAGAAAGGAGAAAGAAAGGAGAATAACTCGGTAGAAAACGTCTCTTTCAATTTGATGTGAAGGATTTTGAAGAAACTGTGAAAGAGTTCTCTGTTTTGTACTAAAACACACATCGAGTTGCTCGTTTCTAATGTGAAGATGTCTAGAAAAAGAAACTCCATGTTATATTGAATGTTCTGATTGTTCATTGTGAAGTTTGTTGCTCATTAATATTCTTTTCTCAGTTGATTTTTGTAATGGCTCTTCCACAATCAGTGGCAGACAATAGGGAATATTTATATTTCATTTGTACACTTGGTTGTCATAATCTATTGTGTTTCAATAGATCAATTTGAATAATTAAAACATGTAAAGGTACTGACTTTGACTTTGTGAAATGAAAGTGTTGCATGTGTTTAGCCTGAAGACATCCTGGGGACTCCCAACAGGAAGTCATCCGTTTCATTCATGAGAATATTTAGAGATTTAAGCACTATAGTTAAACACTAGATAATAAACAGGGCATTGTTTCCGTAGAGTGAGGCATACGTGTGTGTGTGTGTGTGTGTGTGTGTGTGTGTGTGTGTGTGTGTGTGTGTGTGTGTGTGTGACACTTCCCAACCCTCTCACTCCCTGATACATTGTAACATGTTTCCAGATTATAGAGTTAGTCTAAATATTGGTTTAACTTCCCTCATTTTCCTGTCAAATGTGCAGCCTCCCACCCACTGGTTAAAGCTGCAGCCTGTGATTTAACTTACTGGAAGATGCCCGCCCAAACGCTCTCCAACGACTATAAAAAACTCTCCACCACAGGGTTTGTACTCCTCTATGTGGATTCTGCCTCCTCAGAGTAAATGTAATCATTCCTGTGGGTGTGCAGTGCACGGGCCACATTGTATTGTTTTACAAAGCTGTGTATAATTAATCCTTGTTTTGTTTTTCTTCCCACCCAAAAAAAGGTCATTCTTTCATTGCAGATACACTTATTAAAATATCAGTTATTCTCCTCTGCTACTTCTCTCCTCCTTCAGTGGGAGGAATTTGAATTGCAGTAGCTATGATGGGCTCCAAAATGATATACTGGAAGATAGCTATCATGTGACGGGCTATTAATCCTTCACATTAGCATGAGGAAGACATACTCAAAGGATCTCAAATGTGGGAGGAAATCACCATATTTATAACGTCATCTAATACAAAAATAAAGGTAGTTTGAGAGTATGGGCATTACAAAATGTCTTCTATAATTGTTCCACACAGGACTTGTGTACAGCAGGTCAGAGGAGAGCCTGTGAGCCTGTAAGAACAGGAAGAACACAAGTCTCCATACTGCAGCTGGGGTTGGAACTGTTATTTATCATGGGGTAGCATTAGCAGCAGAACCGGTCATACATAATGACTGGAGTATGTGTTATTTATACAGAGTCAGGTTGGTGCTGCAGTGTGGTCCACCTCAGGCAGGCACGGTTCAGGGTTCAATGAATACAACACTGAATAATGCATGGAGGGTAGACTTCAATATTTGAAATATGTTATACACCCTCAGGCTTGGGGAGTAACAGATTACATAATGGGGTTACGTAATCAGGATACAAACTTATTATTCACTTTCAGTTACATTAAAAAAAGATGTAATCAGATTACTGTTACTTTAAAAAAATAAATGGGGATTACAAGAAGGATTACAATGTTATATATTACATATACATTTTAAGTCACTGTAACTATCTATCTTCGAAATCATTTCATAGTTGACCTTGTTTACCTCTATTTGTCTGAAGACCAACTCACAAGACACACAGTGCGTATTCTGATGATTCGGATCCATATACTTCTCATTCCTACATTTCGTTTTTGAAGCTCATTAAGGCTGCAATTTGAATAATGTTTCATGAGCATGTGAAAGGGCATTTGTACAATTAGACTGGTGTCATAACAAAATAATGATCACCTCACTCGTCTTTACAGAGTATTTTAGAATCTTTTTTCTAACTTCTTTGCCTATGTTTTGAATAGTTTTTATTTAACGAGAAACCCACTGTATACTTCTTCCATGTCCATTCAGAAGTTATACACATGTGATTATACACAGTGGAGCAGTAGGCAACTCAAGAGCCAGATATTCACTGGATAACAAAAACAGACCAAAAGTTAAATGGATGTTTGACTTTCTTATCGGATGGCAACAGAACTCCAAATGAATGACTAATGTTTTGCGTACAAATTCTTCAAATGACTATTCCCCTCTTCAGCTAAGTGGCTGTGACTGTGGCCCTCCCTATCATCACAACATATAACACAGAAACATATCAAACAGAAGCCATGCAATGAAGGCTTGTTTGTTAGTTTCATTTGTATACCGCATGTTTTCAGATTCAGAAACCCCACAGTTTAGTCAGATTTAATCAAATACAAAGTTATTTTTTTCTCTCAAACCCTGCGTTGGACAGAAACATGACTATCCCTGCTGTACAGTCTCTCCGCCTGCAGTCGCTCTGAGGCTGAAGTGCAGTAAAAATAGTCTCAGAATGACAGAGGCTGGAAAAGCCGCTGGCCATGGTTCACTTGTTTGAAGTGGGCCACAGTCACCGTGCTTCACATGCTGAACTGCCTGGCCCAGTGTAGAGTACTGGAGGTCTGCTGCAGTGCCATCTGGGCGCCTCCATGCTCCCAGATGTCCTCTCTGTAATTACAGCCAGACTGGGCTCGGCCCGGTCCAGCCCAGATCCAGCCTCTCATTTACAGAGACCCTCCCTGAATACTTAAGAAGCTTTCCAGCACTGTGCAGGCCCTTAGAGGAGGCATTTTTCTAATAGTTTAACCAAAGAAAGCTGGAAGACGTAAGGTAAGTTGGCTCAGATTTCCATCATATGTTTGCAATGAGAACATTTAATAATGGAATTTAATTTCTACTGGAATTTTCCCAGAATTGGAAAAGTAATCCACTACAGGTTTTGTATTCCTTTAGCTGTATAGGTACCCGTGCTAAGGTAGAGATAAGATAGAGAAAGGCAAGCAGTGGCATGTGACAGAGGTCATGAGTCTGATTTGTTCTTACAGCACACTTTATCTTCTCTGCTACCTAAATGTGTCAACAAAAAACAACTTTTTTCTTATCACTGGGCAGGAGCTCAAAATGTCCATCGCCCAGATCGCGGCCAAGGCCATGCTGTCTGACGCCCTGCTGCAGGGCGGCCCCGCGCTGGACCGGCTCAGCCACCTGGAGCTGGAGCTTCCTCTGGACAAGGTCATCAAGTTTGTGTCTGTGGGCCTGCCGCTCATGTTGGTGGGCATGGCCTTCACTCGCGAGATCTCCCTGGGTGAGCAGCTCTGTCTTTTTGAAACTATGATATTTTCTGTGTTTCAGTTACACTGTTGTGCAGTTTTTCCTTGAATTCTTTATAAACGACCTGCTAAACTGCATTTTGTTGAACTTGTGATAAGAAGTAATAGCATACAAATGTAAAGGTTCAACATTAGCATAGGAGTTTAGACAGAAATGTAGTTTGTCATGTACTGAAGAAGTGAACCAAATGTGTTACTATTACAGAGCTTAGTTTAAAAACATCTTCCCCGGGTTTTTAGTCCTGCAATCAGATACATCGCCTCATCCATTTCAATTCTTACATGAAGGAACTAAATAAACAGAGCAATAAGAATGAATTATGTAATTACATGGCACTTTACTTAACAATATTAGGGTCCTGTCATACAATTGGAAGAAAACACTTAATCAACACCTATCACAACATTAGGATATTAACTTCTGACTTCAAGACCTCCTTAGAATAATCAGCAAGATCTAATTGACATGTTGACCAAGGTAATATTCTTTCCTGTATACAAGGCGTTAAAAAGTGATGCCAAGGAGTCCTGACCAAGCTTCTTTGTGTGATGAATTGGGAATAAGAAAGGGATGGCATAATAGATACCACATTTACAACTATGATACAACTGTCAAAACATAGAATTACTGAAATAACTTGTGAATTATTATGATACTTTGAGTACCCTCTACTGGAATTCCTCAGTTTATTGACTCTTCTGTTGTTTCTTTTACTGCCTGAAGTGTTGACCTGAGGAGAGAAATTGGTGGATTTTAACATAATAAACAACTGGTCTGTCCGTGGTCAGGATGTAAGCCCGGCTGACAAAGACGACGTGGCATGTCTAAAGCAGAAGTATATTTCTAAAGATGTTGACTGCCTTGACTTTGAACTAAACGCTGTCTCTCCAGAGCTGGTCTGCAATCAGCCGGATGCTCCTGATGCTAATTGCCATGAGGGATGATTGAGAGCGGCGTTCACTAACGCTGGCACGATGTGATTACAAGGCAAAGTTCTTCTGTTGCAGCCCCCTCCTATTTGAGTCAAATGAGAGGATATGTTGATTACCTGGAAGGGGTGTAGAACACTGTGTGGTGGCGGGCTGAGGGGCTCCACTGATGGATCTTGGCTGCCTACAGTATACGTTGGGTTGTCAGTTTAACAACAGTTCTTGATTGCGCTGCTGTCTGGAGTCGGGTTTACTTACTGCACCTGGACTCTCAGCCAAGAATGCTTACAAAGCAGTAATGTGGAGATAATCTGCCAATGTAAATTGGAGAGTGGGAGTAGGAGACAGGAGCAGTGGCAGAAACATAGTTTCCTTCTCATTGCCAAAGGGCTCACAGGGGTTGGGAATTAAGAGGAAGAATAGGCATCTGCTGCTGTTTCTTTATATAGTGCGGCCAAAAACAAACTGGAAAAACAGATTCCCACAGAAAGCACCATGAGAACATAAAGTGGTGTCAGTTGGTATTATGAACGCATCACCATCATTTAAGGGTATGCAAGCAGCTTCCATCAGTACAGGACAAACAGTGATGAAGAACCAACCTCTGCTCTGGTCACTATTCGTCCATCTGTCCTCAACATTCAGAACAGGGTTTCATTATTAATACAAATAAATAAATAAAATAACACACTTTAGAAAACTCAAATCAAATGAATCATGCGCATATCTTAAAAACATTTTGACCAATTTCCATGCAATATGCTGTATGATTTGAAGAAAGTTGTGGCTTTCTCTTGCAGAATGTGAGATAGGAATAATGCAAAATGAATACAAATTTAAATTAAATTGGACACTTACCAACGTAAACAACACATGCTAAGTTTGAGTTCAGTTTCAGTTTTAAAACATAAGCTGTAACTTTTCTGTGAATATCTAAGACTTTTTATAGTGGGGGTCTGGCAGGAGAAATCCCATCCTGATAGTAAATGAGTGTCATTATGTTTCTACTTACAGAACTGCAGGCAGATGTGGTATATAAATAAAAGCTCCATGTTGTAAGACTCTGAATTAGGTGGGGCACAGCGTGGTGTGTTCCCTCCCAAACTCTCTGTTTGAAAATGACAGATTAGTGAGGAGCATATATTTACTGTAAGTGGTTGGACTACATGTGTTTATATCAAGGTGAACTAAATATAAGGCGGAGGCCCAACTTGGAATCGAGTGGCCCTGAGTTTTAAATGAAGGGTTGTCATTTGGGAACACATGATTTTTTCTGTGAAACTCTGTACCACTGAAAAGAACATTCAGTGTGTATGTGTGTGAGTGTGTGTGTGCAGGTTTGTGTGTGAGTAATTCCCCATATTAACAGATGATGTGACAAATCAACATTTGTTTATTCTGCAGGGCCTCAGATCAGCTGTTTCCCTCCCAGCAATTTCACGATCAAACAGGCCAGCTATGTAGACACGTACTGCTGGGACTCTCTGATGCATCATGAGTTTGACAGCGATGGGAACTTTGAAGAGCGCTCACTCTGGGTACACAAAGTAAGTTGAGAGGTTCTGATCCAGCTTGCTACACATGTTACCTCAACCCAAGTTGTTGACTAAGTTGAACTGCTGAAATACATGTTCTCTTTACTGTAACTTGCAAAACTTCAGTTCAAAATGTCAGGGTACCTTTTTTTAGAAGATTTGTTTTTTATAAATCTATTTTTTCATATCAGTTTCAGTTAACATTTAGGGCCCATATACAAAACGGGAAGTAGTTCTAAACAGGACCTTTGGTTGTTCTTTGGTAATGCTGGTATATTGGGGATTGATTATCAGAATCAGGAATACTTTATTGATCCAAGGGGGGAAATTGGGTCAATGTGACTTGTTTCAACTCTTCTGCCACTCAATCTACCTCTCCGGTATGTCCTTCTTATCAATCATTTCCCCTCCAGATGTTTCCCTACTCTCTATTGGCCATGGCGGTATTGATGTACCTGCCGGCTCTGATCTGGCGCCAGCTCGTCATGCCAACACTGGGCTCCGACCTGCTTTTCATAATTGACGAACTGGACAATTCTTACAACCGCTCCATTCGAATGGCCCAGAGCATCATTGATATGCGTCAGAACACAAAGAACCCGCTCACATTTCAGGCCGAACTGCAAAGGTAAGGGACCACCAACTGATGGCTTCTCGCACGAATATTCAATGCTCTTTTTCTGATTTCATGTGATTGCAGCAACAAACAACCCAATCAGTTATTGTAAAATGTTGCTCAAAGGTTACGGAATTGATCGTGTGCTGTCAGTTTGAATGTCCTCATTAACAGGGAAATTGTGGTTTAAAAACGTTTTCCTCCCCCATATGCAACTATCATTGATATACACTTATGTAAGGCTCGTAGCTGTAGGGGACTGATGTGGGTGTTGCGGTGGGCAACTCCTTGTAACTAAAAGTAGAAGATTGTGGGTGGGGTTGAAAGCTTCCAGCTGGGTGTGTGTGTCTGTATGAACATGAAGGAGAATATCTTGCTGAGTTTCTTTTCCTTGTCCAATTGCAGGGCCAAGAAGAAGCGATACTTTGAGTACCCTCTACTGGAGAGGTACTTGCGGTGCAAACAAAACTCCTATTTCCTTGTTAGCATGCTTTTCTTGAGGGGCTTCCTCCTTCTGACCTTCATGACAGCTGCCTGTCTCTACCTGGCCTACTTCCACCTCTCCGCCTTCCTGCAGGACGAGTTCAGCTGCTTTGTCCGCACTGGAATGCTACGAGATCAGAACTGGGTTCCTGAACTGGTTCAGTGTAAAATGATTGGCCAGTTGGTTTTCCAGGTGATAAGCGTGGCCAATGGTGCCATTTATGTCCTGTTGGCTCCTATCGTCCTCTTCAGCATGATTCGCCTCTTTGTCTGGGACACCACCTTTATATCTGTCTACGAGATCCTCCCGGCCCTTGACCTCCTCAACCGCCGGAGACTGGGCTGCCCACTGAACGACCTCAATGTCCTGCTGCTCTTCTTGCGAGCCAACGTAGCTCACCTGATGTCCTATGGTAAAGTGAGGGCACTGTGCTCCCTGGCTCCCCCACAGGTGGGCAACACCACTGCAGGGCAGGGCTTGAATGCAATGCTTACCCAAGAGGAGATGGAAGAGCGTGAAGAGGCTGCAATGGAGCTGGCAGAGGAGGTGGTGGAGGCCAAGGAGGAAGGGAAACTCAACCTAGTCGACATCATGACTATTCTGGGAGCGGCGCAGGGAAGAGTGGTCAACTGCAGCGAGAAGAGGCCTCTAGTGGAGGAGAATATGAGTCTCGGTACCGTAACAATTATCTACACGCTTAAACGCATTCTGCTAGTGGCTATTTTTGTCTTCATCATTTGGGATGTACAGAAGATTATAAAGTAACCTCCAGATACAGGCTGTGAAATGAAAAGCAAGTCCTCTTAATGAGGTAGCACAAGCAGTTTCCACTGAACAACACTCAATACCAGAAACAGGTCCTATTCATATGGACCTGAGAGTTTGAGAAACATCTTCTGTCAGGGCAAAATCAAGTAAATTCAAAACCACATTGTTTAGTGTTTTTTTATAATTGTTGTATGTTACTGTATTGCTTTTGCTATTTCCTTTTGAAGCCGAACTTAACTGCCTTTTTTTCTAAAAGAGTATTTAGATCTAATTTCTAATGTAGAAAGAGATAGATGTGTGGTACTTCCTAGCCCTAACTGCCCTCTCTGTCTCTTCACAGAGCCAAACCACCAGGGGTACCACGAGTTGAAGGAGACTACACCATTTAGTCATTACTAAGCCTCCTATGGATTACATCAATGTGATTACAAAACCAGAAACACTACAGTAGTACTGTTCCTACAAAGACTGGGGACACCAATCAAGGGCTTCTACAATCCAAACACAACACAAATAACCTCTTTTAGAATTACAGGGCAAATTGTTCTGGCTACAAATGAATGAAACAATAGAAGTGGATTTGTCCGTATTCAGCATCTGTGAATCTGAATTGTTTAGGAGGCCAGTGATGGCGAGAAGACAAAGAAGGCTTTTTAAATGTCGTTGTACCTATACAATGACAATAAAGGAATTCAATTCAATTCAAAGAGAACGCAAGTGAAAGTGGCTATTATGGCGTGAGAACATAGAGCACAAGTATCAGTAAAGTATGTCCATACAACACAAATATTTGTGATCATGACCTGGTTAGATTGAACATTTGTGATAAATAGGAGTTATGCGAGTATGAAATATTTGTGTATGTCAGATATGAGACAGAAAAACTTCTGTCATTGTCAGCAGCATCTATAGATTGTCAGTAATAATATGTACTTATACTGAAGAGTAAACATAACATATTGTTGTACTCATTATCATTATTGCTCTGTTTATCTTATATTTACATTGAACGAATACAATTAGTTCTGTCTATGAATTAGTAAAGTGTATGTTATGTTATTATAAATAAATTCAGTTTTTTCGATTGTTGGTGTTTATCTCATCCTTATTCACATAATCCATTATATTTGTTATAATGTTCTTGTTTAATTTTGATTGATAAGTAGAATTTATATATAGTAAATAGTTGTAATGAAATACATCAGAAAGTCAACTCAACTATACATTTAAGGACAGCGGAGAGCAGTTTGCCTTTTTAGTGCTTCCATTTTTCCTACATGCAATTTCAGAATTGGAAGGACTCAAGTACTTTGCTGTTCCCACTCATAATACCTTTCTACAAAAGGTAAACATAAAGTCATATGTTGAAGTTATTGGTTTCAATCAGTTCATTTTCCTTATTAGATAATAATGTTTACTATATATAAGTAGTTGTCGCTGGCATCACAGTATTACGTTTTTCTGTCTAAAATTATAATTTTGTGTGTTACGATACGATATTCATTATTGTCCCGTAAGGAAATGTATTCTGGAATCCGTCATGCAGTTCCACATACAAACATAATAAACATTAAAACAACCTTCATAGCCAACATTTAAAAGTATATTACATTACATGTGAGTTGCATTAAAAACATATTAGGCATGGGTTGTGTGTATGTGTATTGCAAAACAAATATTACATGACTGTGAGTGGCCAAAGTGTTCGTAATTAATGTTAACTGTGAATTAAACAGATAAAGACAGGAATCTACGCAAATCGCCTCTCTTAAAAGACCGCTCTACCATGTTTGTGTTACCATGTGTGACTGTTTAACAGATAGTCCAGAAGATAGCAACTGTGCAGCTTCAGTGAATTATCCACAAAACAGACAATTTGATATAGTCGAAGGCTTTACAAATAGAGTACATCTGAAAATTATAAGTAAGTCCAACAAAGGATGTGTGTGTGTGTGTGTGTGTGTGTGTGTGTGTGTGTGTGTGTGTGTGTGTGTGTGTGTGTGTGTGTGTGTGTGTGTGTGTGTGTGTGTGTGTGTGTGTGTGTGTGTGTGTGTGTGTGTGTGTGTGTGTGTGTGTGTGTGTGTCACAGGCCACTCAGTAGTCACATATTTTAGCTTTTAGATATTCTCTATGCTAAAATGATGATTATGCTTCGATGCTGCTGCACTCAAAACTTTAAAGGAAAGCTGGTGATTCTTCTTGTCATCAACAGTCATGCATGTCAGATCCCATCCTCCATCATCCATCTGGCAGAGGAAACGCAGACAGATGGTGATAATGAATGTTGTCGACTGTGTATTTTTAAGCTTCACACAAAGGGAAAATACAATTATCTGCAGTTTGTGAAGGCTTTGTTGATTGACTGGCTTTAGCTGGCTGACTCCAGCCACTTGGGGGCATCATTGAGTCATACTGAAACTACACTGGCCATTTTGTTTCAATAACTGCAATATATACATTTAAGGCTGCATCATAGTAAGGTCAGTGTTGATACTTAAAATCCTGTAATCTAAATGAAAGGGAATGCAGTCTCTTTCAGATCATTTTAATCAGGCGTGTACAGGGTCCTCCTCTGTGGAGACTATAGGCTGACACTGCTGTGACGGGAGCATTACATTTTGGAATCGTGAATTTGCTGGAAACCGTCAGTACAGACATGTCAATGGGCTTCCAAGTTCTACTGTTTGCACTGTTTCCAAAAGTGTTGCGCATATTACTCATACTTTAGAGCAGGGTTTGATTGAATATAATGAGAGATCAAAGGTGTTCTTTAATTCCTCTGCTGTCATTCCAGTCTGCCTGGATCATGATGATGATTCTGTTACATCCAAATGATGCTGAGGTGGTTTCATCAGGGCTTACATGCCCCTGGCAGCTCACAGCACAGCACTAAGCTCCGTGCAGAATCCAAGTGAACTTGTACTGTTTTTACAGTTTGACATCTCTGGCCTTACCTTTCCTCTCCCTCTGCATGGGATATCTAGTGTGTGCATAGAAACATCAGAGTATTTTCTCTAAATGTTTTTCTCTCTCTCTGCAGCAGGTAACATTGGTATATGTCTACTGCGCACCGGCCTCATCTGTGGGGTAAAGTGCCAGCAAGCAGCCAAAAAGAAATTACTAGAAAACACTGTTCCCGCCCCAGCCTGTTCAATCTGCTGCTGTCTTTCAAACAGTGCAGAAGTGTCAGCTGCTGCAGCACCACCACTCTCTCAGGCTCCCCCTCAGCTGCACAATGTAACCAACCTCAGCTCGGTGTGTGTGTGTGTGTGTGTGTGTGTGTGTGTGTGTGGTGTGTGTGTGTGTGTGTGTGTGTGTGTGTGTGTGTGTGTGTGTGTGTGTGCGTGTGTGTGTGTGTGTGTAGGGCAGTGGTTCCCAAACTTGTTGTGCCCAAGGCACACCAAAGGACAAGTAAAAATCTCAAGGCACACCTATTGTGCAAAATAGCCCTTATAACACGTGTTATCACTCATATCATGTAAAATATCTGTAAATGTGCATAATTATTTACTAATGCCAAAAAAAATGTGACAAAGACAACTATATTACTCATGAGATATTTATTAACGAAGTATTTCAGAAATTAATTTGAAACTTTATCAAATTAGGCTTCATCAAAGCAGCAACACACTAATTTAAACCAGACAGGTCACAACATTAAAAATGAGGCAAAGGAAACTCAGCAGAAATTCAGCACAGAGAAAAGTCAATGCAAGGAAGCTGCATTGTCCATGGTCCTGAACTACAAATTATAAATGTAACATTTCAGCAATCAGCATTGAAACATGTGCTATTGTAAATATTTTGCCGACTTACAAATTAGTGAGATACATGTGCCTGTCGGGGCGCTGAGGAGAGGGCCACTCGCAAGTCCTGTTCAACAGAGAGCCGTGACCTCCTGTTGTTCTTCATGTAAACCAGAGTAGAGAACGCCAACTCCAGAGATGGGGTCGTTACTAAAAAAATGTAATATATTACATATTACTTTTTTAAAAATTATATTACACTACTTCGTTACTATCTACATAAAGTAACTCGTTACTTTACTCGCCGAGCACGTACGAACTGCGCATGCGTGAGTGGCAATAACTTTCCTTACCAGCGGTAGTGTGTATTTGTCATTCAAAACAGGCAACAACCGGAAGACAGAGAAGAAGAACAGACTACGTGATATAAACAAACAACAAATAGCGTGTGCGGTAGCTTTACCTTAGCATGTGTTCTTTGCAGGTGTTTGTTGAGGTTTGACGTGGTGTTTACAGCAGTGGATAACAGCTTCTGGCCTGGACACAGTTTGCACCTCACTGTCACATTCCTGTCTATTCTTCGGACTAACCTACACCTACAGTCTATGGGACGAACTCAAAATAATGGGCATACCTCCACCCCTCGAAAGTTATCGCTGACTCAGCCATGTTAATGCAGCACTGCACGTGGAGATGTGGACGCACAAGTCGCGCAGATTACGTACATATAAACCTACAAAGTACTGATATAGTAAATTAAAAAATAATTATTTGTTGTGTAGTTATATATTGCAATAATAACGTATGGTTGTCACAAAATCCCACGGCACACCCGGACTTGCCTCACGGCACACCAGTGTGCCGCAGCACACCATTTGGGAACCACTGGTGTAGGGTGACCAGGTGTCCCGCACTGTGCGGGACTGCATACACAGCATTTTTATTATTTGTCCCTTATCCCACAAATTGAGTCTATGTCCCGCATTTGAGTGACAGTTGCGCAGAATCGGTTCGCTGACGGCCGGCACCGCCCTTTATTATTATATTGTCAAAACGGCATTGTGTAAGTTGCGTTGAGAGGCGACACAGAGGTCCACAAACAGTGTAACCCCCCATTGACAGTTCCTGAGCGCGTCCATAGTGTCTCCCCCCCCCCCCCAGTAAAAAAATCCCCACTACACCACTGCTGTTAACTGACAGGATAATACACTACATGGTGTGTTTAAACCTGTGATTACAGGAGATCACTGCCTTCTATATTCTGTGCCACCAGGTCGGATGTGGCTAAAATATACTTTCCTAAGCGTTTGTGAGACTGTATTCGGCATTCTGTCAGTTTATCTTTGTGCTCTCAAACCAAAGCATTTGCTATCATAACGGTCCTTTTGATACCTGCCATTTGCACCCATTTCAAATTACTGTTAGTTTGACAAACACACTGTAAAATATTACCATGATTTCACAATATTTAGCTGTACTATTTTACAAGACATTACTGTTTTACCACTTTACAGTCTTTACCTGTAATGTTCATAATATAACACTGTAATTTAGAATTTCACAGTGAAATCAATACAGGCACAGTTAATTACTGTGAATGTACAGGATCAATGATTACCAGGATTTCACAACATGTTACTGTATTATTTCATAGTAAAATACTGTATTCAGAACATCCTCTGTGATAACACAACAAATTAAGTGATTTTCTTGCTTTTATCGCTCTTGCTTGGCTTTAAATACTAATTTCTTTCTTTGGTGCAGGTTTTACTTAAATTGAAAGGAGCACCGCTGCATGTGCCTTAAAATAAATGAGGCAACATATACATCTATGTCAAATTGAAATTGTTGTCTTGGCTTAGTGTTTTCAGGTGCATCCTGGAAATTAATCCTGAGACGGGCTAGAAAGCCAAAAAGAGGCATGGCAATTTAAACCCCCATGTCAGCACATTCTTCAGAAAAATTGTTGACTTTGAGTGGATGTCTGTGTAGACATGTGTTAAGTGCTCCCCTCCTTGTTTTCTGTCTCCCTGGCTCCGCCTCTGCCCAGGTGCACCTGGTCTGCCCCTGGCTCCGCCTCTGCCCAGATGCACCTGGTCTGCCCCTGGCTCCACCTCTGCCCAGGTGTTCCAAATTCCACTCAGCCGTGTGTATATATAAAGAGAAGCTGGAGGAGAAGGATGTCTCGCCTATCCTAACGCCGGAGACACTGTCCTTAGAATACCTCTTTGCCATTCTGAGCTGTAGGCCATATTTTTGAAGATGTGTTTATGTTTAGCCTGGAGGACCTGGTAGTCCAGTTTTTGCGGCTTTATTTTGTTTCCCATAGGGTTTATATTTGATTTTTGGTTAGGCGGGGGAGTTTTGGGTCAATAAAAGGTCTGATTATCAATAAATGCTCGTTACCAAGTACGGGTTATTGCGTATATTCTTTCATGTTGCGGGTCTCAGCACAAGCCACTACCGCGGATTAGAGGTTGGGGCCGTAACAACATTTCCAAGACACTGTAAAATGTACTTTGCACTTCAATGGAGTAATAAAAAGTTAAAATGGGCATTTTCTTTGTTTTTCTTTGTTTTCATTTAATTTCAAACCTTTATTTAGACAGATAGGTCCCTTGAGATCACGGATCTCTTTTACAAGGGAGACCTGTTGATTGAGCCGATTGAATTATGGTACAATCCCAGTCAAATTTACAATATATGTGTATATTTACAGTAAATTACTGGCTACTGTGTTGCATTACAGTACTTCTACAGTAATAGTGTGAACATACAGGTAATTACTGTAATTTATGTACAGCAAGGTACCATAATACCACAGCTCTGTACTGCTATATCACAGTAATTCCATGGGCATGGCAACTGTAAAGTCACAGTATTTAGTTGTACTTGTATTCTAATTAACTGTAAAATATATACAGTAAATTACTGTGAAATATTTACAGGATGTGACATCCACCCCACAATTAAACCATGTTCATACAATAATGAATACATTTCAAACCTTCTTCATGTCAATACGTTTCATTATTTGTAGTGTATTGGTCTTTTGTAGAGATTTTTCATTTATTCTTTATATATTCTATTGTGTATTGCTTGGAGGGGCGGGGGGGGGGGGGGGGGCACCAAATCATAATCTCGCCTTGGGCACCAAAATGTATAGGGCCGGCCCTGCTCCTTGGTTTTGTTGGTTCGCTGGGGGGGTGTCAGAGTGAGCGCTCTCTACTTTGCGAGGTTCTTTGTAAACGGAGCATGGAGATCACCACATGGAGGAGCAGACGTCATGCAAACTGTATTTGTGTCTGTGACGCTTGAGCCTTGGAGACTATTTGTCTGTGAGTGATTAATGTACAATTTGGATGTGTTATGTGCAGAATGTTTGAAGTTTGTAACTTTTTGTCTGAAGCTAGTTTAATGTGTACTATTTTAGCTAATGGTGATGTGTGCTTTTTCTAGCTAATAGTGATGCTATTGGTAGCTAACTCCGTTAATAGTAGTATGTGTGTCTTTTGTACAGTGCTACGTATATGTTATGTGTAAAGCCAGCATACTTACATGTGTTTTATTTCTGTATTGTTACAGTTTTACAAAGTAAAAGAAGAAATCTACAGTAAAAAGCAAACCTTGCATCTTTAATGAAAGACTTTTAAATGTTAGCTAATTGTCTAGCTACATAAAGGGATATGCGCTGTAAGGGCAGTACCCAGTGGCGTAGCGGAGGCCCCCGCACCCCCCGCGGTGCGGGGGAGCCCCGGAGCTTAGGGGGCCCCGCCCCCACTGTAGGCTATCCTCTTAGATTTCGTAACGCGGGAACAGGGTGCAGAGGGCGGGGCCCCCCCCCTCCCTGCTATGTTGCTACGTCATGTGTACGCTGCCTGTAGTAGTACAACAGTGTATCATTATAATTATTTGCTCATCTGCGATAGGGCTAGCCGGCTGATAACTAATGTTCATTGGCAGGCTGGGCAGCGTTCAAAACAAAGCGGGAAGCATTGCTCATATAAATAACGTTCATTAGTTGCGTTGCCGGTAAACATGAAAAATGAAGCGCCACTACCCAAGCGGTGCTCAGAAAAGCAAAATGAGAGCGAAAGCCGAACAGGAGAGGGAAAAACTACCTAAAATAACGTCATTGTTCCGGCAGGCAGCAAAGGTAGACGTAGACTCTAACGTTACTGCAGATAGACCGCTAGCAACCCCCCCCCCGGCCCCCGGCCGTCAGCTCCGAGTCCAGGCAGACAGCCCAGCAGCCCCGTTACAGCCGAGCCAGCTAGTCGTGCCTCGCGCTTCGAGACAGGTTAGACATTAGAATAATATAAAGTTTTATTCGCCATAACCAGTATGCTACAGGTTACATTGGAATTGGAATCTAATCCGTTCATTTTTGCAGGTCAGCAAGAAGTCAGCTGTGCCCCCTCCGAGGCCAGTTCAGACATAGGCATAGACAAGGCTGCCCAGCCAGCTAGCCGTGCCCCCACAGACCCCAGCAGCCCCGTTACAGCCGAGCCAGCTAGTCGTGCCTCACGCTTCGAGACAGGTTAGAATAATAGAAAGTTTTATTCGCCAATCGCCAAAAACAGTACGAGTCAGTATGCTACAGGTTACATTGGAATTGCAATATAATCCGTTCCTTTTTGCAGGTCAGCAAGAAGTCAGCTGTGCCCCCTCCGAGGCCAGTTCAGACATAGCCAAGGTTGCCCAGCCAGCTAGCCGTGCCCCGACAGTGACAGCAGCTCCCACCCACCCCAGGGACACGTTGGCCAGCGACAACTCTGTGACTGAATACCCTACTGATAGGGGGAAATTCCCTGTAGATTTAGAAGACGATGATGTTAAACGGTACATTCTGAATAACGGGCCATGCAAGCCTGAAGGGCCATTCAAAAGGGATGGGAAGGGAAGGTGCTTTTCAAAAGAGTTCTATAACAAAACATCCAAAATTGGATGTAGAATTCCACGAAAGTGGCTATGTTACTCGCCATCTATGGACCGGGTGTACTGTGAGCAGTGCTGGCTGTTCGGTGACAGACCGTCTGCCCATCACCTCCACCAAGCGTGGAGGAGAATAGGAATAAATGATTGGCAGGATCTCTCTAAAAAGATTAAGGAACACAAATTATCTCGCTCTCATTTGGCAGCATGTGTCGTGTATGATACGTGGAAAAATAATCTGACCATTGACGCGCAAATATGATCTGAGTTTAAGAGAGAGGTGGGGTTTTGGACCGAGGTCCTAACCAGAATAACTGATGTTACACTAACACTGGCCTCTCGCAACTCTGCTTTCCGGGGTCACAGAGAGAAAATAGGTGATATAGATAATGGTAATTTCTTATCTACCATAGAACTTATGGCGCGTTATGATCCAGTTCTGCAAAGGCTTATTGAAAGCAAAAAGAAGGTGCACTACCTAAGTCCTCAAACTCAAAACGAAATAATTTCATTGCTATCGAAAAAAGTGCAGGACACAATCATTACAGACATACAGAATGCAGAATTCTATTCGATTATAATGGATACTACCCAGGACATTTCAAAAGTAGACCAACTGAGTCAAGTGTTCAGATATGTTACTATAGCAAATGATGAAAATGGAAACCCTACAGAGGTGAAAATAAACGAAAGTTTTTTGGGCTTCCATGCAGTCACAGACCAAACTGCTGCAGGTCTAGAGAGAGAAATTCTCGAATCGATGGAGAGAAAGGGGATACTACTTGGGAAGTGCCGCGGACAAGGATATGACGGGGCTAGCAATATGAGTGGCATCTACTCCGGTGTACAAAAACGCATAAGGGATAAAGAGCCCAACGCAGTGTACATTCATTGTGCTGCGCACAATTTAAACCTTGTACTCAATGACGCATACCAAAATATACCTGAGATAAAAGACTTCTACGACACTGTTGAAAGGCTATATGTATTCTTTAGTGGAAGCATCAAACGATGGGAGCATTTGGAAACACACCTCTCAGTGCCCAAGGCTGGCCAGCCTACACTGAAGAGACTATGCCCGACACGATGGGCATCAAGACAAGACGCCGTCCAATCATTGCGGTTCCGTTATGCTGACATTATGCAAGCGCTAACTAAGATAGACTTGCTCTCCAAAAAAAGCGAGGAACGTGCCGAGGCGACTGGCTTGAAAAAGGCCATGGAGAGCTTTGAGTTTGTTGTAATGACTGTAATACAGGGCAAGGTCCTTGAAACAGTCAACATTGTGTCCCAAGCTCTCCAGCGCAAAGACGTGGACCTCTTACAGGCGACAGCAATGCTTGGTAACGCAACCGATACACTTGCCCAACTCCGAGGAGAGTTTGATGGCTTAAAAGCGCACGCGCAAGACCTGGCATCCTCATGGGGTGTCCACAGTCTCTTCAAAGACAGACGCGCAAGGCGCACAAAGAGGCACTTTTCAGAGCTTTGCGAGGACCAGCGGCTCCAAGACCCAGGGGAGCATTTTAGAGTGGCGGTATTTTACGCAAATATCGATATTGTCGTTGCCCAACTCAAAAATCGATTTGTTGGAATGAGCGAAGTTGCACAGCGATTTTCTTTTCTGCTTCCCCGCGAACTTTTGCGCGCAACAGACAAGGATCTGTCTGAGTCCGCAAGTGCTTTATCAGGCCAGTATAAAGACGACCTGTCAGCCGAGTTTCCTTTCCAGATCCTGTCCCTCCGTAATGCTCTTAGGCCTACTATAAAGAAAATTGAGCGTGGAACAATCAAAGACCTTGCACAAACCCTGCTCATTGAAAATCAGTCCATTTTGCCAAGTATCCCCGATGTTGCCACAGCACTGAAATTGTTTTTAACTATACCCGTGACTGTTGCCAGTGCTGAGAGATCTTTCTCAAAACTTAAATTAATAAAGACATATTTGAGGAGCACAATGTCGCAAGAGAGACTGTCTGGGTTAGCAGTCCTTAGTATTGAGAGCCGACGCGCGCGCAGTATAGATTTAAAGACTGTTATACAGGACTTTGCGCAGAAGAATGCCAGGAGACGTGCTCGTATAAAATAATAGGCCTACAAAGCAGCTCCTGATTGCATCCTCTTTGTAGCCTATATAGGATGTGTTTTATTTGCTTGTTTTTTGTAGGCTACTTTTCTTTTATACAGAATGTTATGTGAACCGTTCCGTTGTGTGAACTCCAATGATGATAGGCTATAACGTTCTACAATATACCTTCATGTTACAAAAAATACACAGCCACTTGTTTGTATTTGTCAATTATGTTTCAATCAGATGTATATTATTATACAGTTCCTACTGACCTTACTGTTTAAATCAGATGTATATTATACAGAAAGTTCCTACTGACCCTATACTGTTTAAATCAGATGTATCTATACAGAAAGTTCCTACTGACCTATAGGCCTACTGTTTACAAAAGATGCCTGAAAAAATAAACATTTAAAAAAGTGGCCGCGATGTCTATCCCATGTCACTCTATTATTGATTTAGGGGAGGGGGCGGGGCCCCATGGTCCGACCTGCGGGGGAGCCCCGAAATATTGCGCAACGCCACTGGCAGTACCTACCTATACCGTTAATAATATAAAACAATATTTCACAGTTACTAAGACTCCACAACAGTAGCGTAGGCAGAAATGTACTTTAGAGCAGGCTTGTATAAAATAGGGTGGGCCAGCTTTTTCCAGGGGGAAAAATTACTTTAAGGTAGGCCTGGCCGATAATAATAATATATAATAATGCCCATTGCCAAGCACCGTTGTAGCATTTCCCTCCGAATAATGGTCGAAGACTTGACTGATGATATGAATTTATTGAAATCTCCAATATCAACGTAAGAGCTATAAAGACACAAGAATAACAAATACATTTAGGCTCCATTCGCATTAGAATTAGGGATCGACCGATATGGCTTTTTCAAGGCCGATACCGATACCGATTATTAGTAATCAAGGAGACCGATAACCGATATTTGGAACCGATATACATTTGCAGTAAAATCAGAAAATCTTGGTGTCAAAATTTAGAATAACACACAAACTCCAACACAACTTATTTGAAATGCATTTAAGCATGGGCGTCGCAGCCATGATATGAGGGTGGGACAAGTCCCCCCCACTTTTTCAAATGATTAGTTTAGACCCCCCCCACTTTTACTATGCGGAAAGTCCGTGAATCGGATGCACTGCGTGCTAATAGAACCGTCCTTAGGGCAGCAGAGCGGAAATGGTGGAAATCCAAACACCGTGACGACCTCCTAACCTATCAAGCTCTCCTCTCCTCTTTCTCTGCTTTGATCTCTCAGGCAAAAAGCACTTTCTTTCAAGATAAGATCCAATCTTCCTATTCCAATCCTAAAAAACTATTTTCCATCTTCTCCACCCTCTTGGACCCTCCAAAAGCTCCTCCCCCCTCCTCACTTCTGTCAAGCGACTTTGTTACCCACTTTGAAAAAAAGGTTAATGATATTCGCTCTTCTTTTTCTGACTCACCTTTACTCACCGCTGGGTCACCAGACCTTCCTTCCACCAACACACTAACCTCCTTTTCCCCTCTCTCTCCAAGTGAGGTTCTTACCCTCATTACCTCTGCCCGCCCTACCACCTGTCCTCTGGACCCTATCCCTTCAAACCTCCTTCAGACTATCGCTCCTGATATTCTACCATTTCTCACCCATTTCATCAACACTTCTCTAACTTCTGGTCACTTTCCAAACAGTCTCAAGGAGGCAAGAGTAAACCCTCTCCTAAAGAAACCCACTCTCAACCCGTCAGATGTTATAAACTACAGGCCTGTCTCTCTCCTCCCGTTCCTGTCTAAATCACTTGAACGCGCTGTCTTTAAACAACTCTCCTGTTATCTCAATCAGAACAACCTTCTGGATCCGCACCAGTCTGGTTTCAAGGCAGGTCACTCCACAGAAACTGCTCTCATTGCGGTCACGGAGGAACTGCACACTGCCAAAACTGCATCCCTCTCCTCTGTCATCATCCTGTTGGACCTGTCTGCTGCATTCGACACGGTGAATCATCAGATCATCCTTCGCACTCTCCAAAAACTTGGAGTTTCTGGCTCTGCTCTTTCCCTCCTCACCTCATACCTGAAAGACCGTACCTACAGGGTGACTTGGAGAGGGTCTGAGTCCGACCCTTGTCAATTAACTACGGGGGTCCCTCAGGGCTCTGTTCTTGGTCCCCTCCTCTTCTCCTTGTACACAAACTCGCTCGGATCAGTCATTAGCCCGCATGGTTTTTCTTACCACTGCTACGCTGACGACACCCAATTAATTCTGTCCTTTCCCCGCTCAGAGACCCAGGTCGTCGCACGCATCTCTGCTTGTCTAGCTGACATCTCTCAGTGGATGTCTGCTCACCACCTCAAGCTCAACCTTGACAAGACTGAGCTGCTCTTCCTCCCGGGAAAAGATTGTCCAACTCTTGACCTGACAATCAACATCGGCACCTCAGTTGTTTCCCCGACTCAGACTGCAAGGAATCTGGGTGTGACCCTAGATAACAACCTGTCCTTCACTGCAAACATCGCTGCTACAACCCGCTGCTGCAGATACACGCTTTACAACATCAGGAGGATACGTCCCCAGCTGACTCAGAAAGCGACTCAGGTTCTGGTCCAGGCTCTCGTCATCTCACGCCTAGACTACTGCAACTCCCTCCTGGCTGGTCTACCTGCATGTGCCATCCGACCTCTGCAGCTCATCCAGAATGCAGCGGCTCGTCTGGTTTTCAACCTTCCTAAATTCTCCCACACCACTCCGCTCCTCCGCTCCCTTCACTGGCTTCCGGTAACTGCTAGAATCCACTTCAAGACACTGGTACTTGCTTACCGTGCTGCGAATGGATCTGGCCCTTCCTACATCCAGGACATGGTTAAACCGTACACCCCAGCGCGTGCACTACGCTCTGCATCAGCCAAACGACTCGTTGCGCCCTCGCTGCGAGGGGGACCCAAGTTCCCATCGGCGAAAACACGTGGGTTTGCTATCCTGGCTCCAAGATGGTGGAATGAGCTCCCCATTGACATCAGGACGGCAGATAGCTTGCACATCTTCCGGCGCAAACTGAAAACTCATCTCTTTCGACTCCACTTCGAGCGTTAGAACGATTAACGAAGCACTTTTATACCAATAAAGGACTGGATTACCTAAAGCCAGTTGAGTAGCACTTGAAATGTTTGGCTCTATGAAACCTGATATACTTATAT